ATGAGGGACCCAAATTCCGCAGTCGGGCCCAGAGTCCAGGGCAGCGAGCAAAACATGGCTTCAAGGTTGAGTTTGACGCCATGAGACCGCTGGCTTCCCGAACACAATTCCTGGGTGGGCGGCTCTGAGCACCCAGCCTGAAGTCGTTCTCGGCTGTAAAGTGGGCACAGTAATCCCTCCCACCCCATCCCGATCTCACAGGGGCCTTAAGCCTCCAGCGAGACCAAGCACCGGGGGAAAACGCTGCGCTCTGTCGGCTGCCGGAGGCGCGCTGGGCAGCTGAGGTCTTAAGCCTACAGCCTCGGGGACGCACCTGACAGAGGGACCCCGGGGTCCCCCGTCCTTACGCATCTTTCTCCAGCAGGCCGGCTGGTCCTCCACTCCCTCCCGGTCCCTCTGCCGTCTTAGAGTCTTTTTCTGCTCTCCGCACGTCTTTCCCGCGCCCCTGCCCGGGTGGCCCACCCCTGGGCTCACCTGTCCAGGGAGACGGCGGCCAGCGTGAAGCTGCTGGCGTGCATGGTGAAGAAGGTGAGGAAGTGCACGGCCCTGCAGAGCAGCGAGCCGAACACCCAGCCGTCCAGGGTGTAGATGGTGGCCTGGAAGGGCACGCAGCACAAGATGAAACACAGGTCGGCCACGCCCAGATTGAGGATGAACAGGTTGGTGGTGCTGACCGCCTGGCGGCCGCGGAGCAGCACGGCCAGCACCAGCGTGTTGCCCACGGTGCCCACGAGAAAGATGAACGCGAATAGCATGGGTACGACGACCGCCTCGGGCTGCCAGCTGCCCCCGCCGCGCATCTCACTCGCGTGCCCGACCCCGGGGCCACCCGAGTCATTCATGGTGCAGCCGCACCCGAGTTTCGACGGGCGCGCAGCTCAGCTGCAGGCGGAGTGAGCCTCGCGGCGCCCGGAGCTGGAGGCGGGGGTGCGCTGGGGCGAGCGGGAGGAGCTAGCAGCTGCAGGGGTGGGATGGCCCCCCGAGGCGCTTGGCTGCGCGGGGC